CACCTCCACCAGAACGGCCAGCAGCACGACCACCAGCACGACCACCAGCACGTCCACCAACCACGACCACCAGCACCTCCAGCACGGCCAGCCACCAGCACGACCACCACCAACCACCAGCACGACCACCAGCACGACCACCAGCACCTCCACCAGAACGGCCACCAACACGACCGCCAGCACGACCACCAGCACAAGCACCGGCACGCCCAGCCACCAGCACGACCACCAGCACAACCACCAGCACGACCACCAGCACGATCACCAGCACGACCACCAGCACCTCCACCAGAACGGCCACCAACACGACCGCCAGCACGACCACCAGCACAAGCACCAGCACGACCACCAGCACGACCACCAGCAAGACCACCAGCACGACCAGCCACCAGCACCTCCAGCACGGCCAGCCACCAGCACGACCAAGCACGACCACCAACACGACCACCAGCACCTCCAGCACGGCCAGCCACCAGCACGACCACCAGCACAACCACCAGCACGACCACCAGCACGACCACCAGCACGATCACCAGCACCTCCACCAGAACGGCCACCAACACGACCGCCAGCACGATCACCAGCACAACCACCAACGCGACCAGCCACCAGCACGACCACCAGCACAACCGCCAGCACGACCACCAGCACGACCACCAGCCCAGCACGACCACCAGCACGACCACCAGCACGACCAGCCAGCAGCACGACCACCAGCTCGACCACCAGCACTTCCCAGCACGACCACCAGCACAAGTACCAGCACGACCACCAGCACGACTGCCAGCACCTCCACCAGAACGGCCAGCAGCACGACCACCAGCACGACCACCAGCACGTCCACCAACCACGACCAGCAGCACGGCCGCTAGCACAACCATCAGCACGACCGCATTATGGGCACACGGTCGGTCGAAATAAAGCAGTGCGAGATCACACCGGTAGGTATGATGATAACACTTCGGTGGAGGTCCCTGTGGGGCCAGGGCCACGATCCTCGACAGGGGTGTGCCGAAATGAAGCTTCGGTGGAGCTCGGCCCCACCGGTCCCACAGATCCGCCGCCGCCGCCGCGGCCGCGCCGTGGATGGGGGCTACATGCGGGGCGTAGCCCACCCCCAGGGGGGGGTGCCGAAGGCCGTTCGGGAGGGGGGGGTTGCTGGGTTGCTGGGTTGCTGGGGGGGGGGGGGGGCGACCTTCATGACCGCCTTGTTCAACAAAACAACAACAACAACAACAACAACAACAACAACAACAACAACAACAACAACAACAACAACAACAACAGCAATAACCATCTTACGAATGTTCGCTCCTATCTTCTCGTGTGCCATCGAAGACATAGATCGCGCCCCCTTGGGGAGGTACCTTCCGCACCTGGCATTCAGTGCAGCCTACAAAACGAAGGAAGAGAGGACAGATGGAAGGAGGAGAACGCATGAGGGAGAAGGGGCGAAATTAGCAGGAGGGGGCCAGGACTCAGAACGCACGTGGCAACACCAGTCGGGCAGACCCTAGCGGGCGGGTCGGGGAGGCGAGCCCAAGCGGCCAGGTCATACAAGCGGGATGCTGGACTGTGAGTTCTGTACGAATAGCAATGCACTGTCGAGCGATAGCGCGGTTCTCGAGCAAATCGTGAGAATGCCCAATGCGAGAGCGTGATCCCTGAGTGTCGAGGGCGCGGCGACTGAGTAACTTGCGAGGACGTCCCACGCGAGAGCGCGATGCTGAAAGAACGTGTGAGGAAGTATCCGGCGGGAGCCGTTGTTTTTGTAACAAGGGGGCCGACGACACAGTTTGAGCAAGAATACGTTCCGTGATCAAAAAAACACCAGGTGCGAGCCCCGAGGTGGGCACTTACCATGAAAACCAATGCGCACGTGCGGGGGGATCAGCAATGATTACTCCTCACGGGGGAGACTTCGACAACCCTTTCAAGACTGTTCGCTCCTAACTGCTCGCGTGCCGTTCAACTCGTACATCCGCCCTCGTCGTCTTCCATCGTACCCCCTTGGGGGCAAATCTTCCACATCTGCCGCGTGTAGTTGGCGCAGCCTCTGAAACAGGGGATAAGGATAATGATAAGCGCATCGGAGGCGAGCCCGTACCGACCGAAGCCATACAGAGAACTCTAGGCCTCTGCGAGAATACGGAATGGGCCCTGCCAACTGCTATGGCCGGCCCAGGGCGCCCCTCAGGGGAGGCCGAGAGGAGGGCCCGACTGCAGGAAGCTCTACCTAGAGAGACCTGCAGGAGGAGGAGGGTTAAGGAGCAGGAGCACAAAGCGGCAGAACCAGGCGGGCGCGTCGGGCGGGCGGGCCCTAACACGAGCTCTTCGGGCGGGCGGGCCCAGACGGCCAGGTCGAGCTGGCGGGTCGCTGAAGCGTGAACCCATCAGGGAGGAACTCTGGAGCGATAGTGCGATTTCAAAGTAGGACGCTGGGAATCCAAAGCGAGAGCGTGATTCGTGAGTCTTGGGGGTGCTGCGCCGCAAGAAAGTGTGAGGAAGTACCACGCAAAAGCGTGATGCCTGTATACATTCTGCGGGAGTCCTGCGCAAAAGCGCGATTTCAAAATCAACTGTGAGGAAATAGTGTGCGAGAGCCGTTGTTCTTGTAAATCTGGGGACAAGAACCCAAATTGGTGACCCCAGATTTTCCCTTGTAAAAAGAACCGGGTGCAAGCCCCAGGGGGAGCACTTGAATTGCAAAATGCAATGGTCACCGAAGGGAGGGCATCAACAATGATTCATTTTTGGAGATGGGAATTCAACACAACAGCAATCCGCACCTCGGACCCCCACTTCAGCCACTCACCCAGGGGCAGCGAATGACCGTCCGGTCCCCTCACTCCGACCGATTCCCAACAATGGATGGGCAAGGTCCGCCCCTGGGCATGGGCCCCTCCCCTGGCACAGGACTTCCCTCCCGAGCCGTGCTTTTTAAATGTCCTGGGGCCTGGTCAGGGCCCCCGGAAGGGGGGGCAGACGTGGGTGAAACAAAAATCTCCGGCGTGGTTTCGCCGCAGCGAGAGGAGGCGGCACCGCCCAATCAATCTGTGGACACACCCCTCACACACTTTTGGCCCCCCAGGGAGCTCCCCGTCCTTCGTCCCGCCTCCCTTGCGGCACCCACGCCCGCAACTTGCCTGGGCCCCTGGCCAGGAGCACTCGCAGCGCGAGGAGGTGGGACAACGAGAGCTGGGCACTGTCCACCCCTCTCGCCTCCGCCGAGCGGTGTGCGCGGGCGGCAACGCGGCGGCAGCGCCGCGCGCAGGCGCGCGCGCGCGCAGGGGGGGGGGGGGGGGCGAGGGTCGACGCTCGCCTTCCCGTCGCTCATGCTGTGATCCTGGCGGCTGGGAGCGGCCCCCGCGCGTCCCGTGCGAGGCGGGGCTCCATCCGCATCCATCGCCAGCGAGCCGAAGTCCTGGAACCCCAGGGGGCGGCGGATTTGGATAGGTCGGCGCTCCAGGATCTAAGGCAGGGCCCGCCTCCGCCGCTGCCAGCCCATCGGGTCGAGGACCGAGAAAGCAGGAAGGGCACCCGGAAGAGAGGGCACACTCATCCTCCCGCCATCGGCTGCGCCTCCACTCGCGAGGGAAAATGCGACATGCCTTGTGGTGCCGTCCTGTAAGACTGTCTGGCAATCGCACTGGTGAGCAGATGTGTATTGAACCACCTGATGGTAGCCTTGCCGAAGAAAGATCAGCGCTCCAGGGGGCCCAAACATTCCCGGATCCACCGCCTGCCGAGGTCCAAGAAGATCGGCTCCCTGGGCGGTGGATCTTGGTTGCTCACTCTGGGGAGCTTCCTGCGTCGAAGCTGCGTCGAATGTCCATCGATTTGAGCCGACCTTGAGTCGAAGCTGAGTCGAAGCTGAGTCGAACTTGAGTCGAACCCGAATCGGACTTGAGTCGAAACGGGGCCGAACGAGAGTCGAACAGATCCGTCAGTTGGGCCCCAGGAAGATCCCCACAACGAGCATCGAATGGATCTAGATGAATCCCAGCCTCGGGCCCTAGGCCTCCGCATGACTGTTGGCCCGCTCTTCCTCCTAATCTCTGCCGTTCCTCGGGTGAGCGAGAGGATGGGACGACCAGTACCCCCATTCAACTACCACCTGCTGTGGGATACACGGCAGGAGCGGGAGAGGGAAAGTAGAGGCCTCCTAGATGGGGTCGGAGTAGATGGTGTCGAAGGATCTCGCCGCATCGCCGATGCATCGGCGATGTGGCTCGATGTGGATCCCGATTGTCTCCACGCCGACGTAGCTGATGAATCGCCGACGCCGATGCGGCGAGATCCTCAGACCCCATCTACTCGGACCCCATCTAGGAGGCATCTAAACTCCCACCTGCTGTGGGATTCGCGGGAGTAGCAGAGGGGGCGAGGGAGAAGACGGACCGAGGCGAAGGGGGCACTCGGAGCAAAAACTGTGCTTCGCCTCCGCGAAACACCGTTTCTGGTTCAATCTCGGCGTGTGTTACCAATTCCGCCCTTCGAGGGCCGTTCGATGATCCTCAGAACGTGTGTGGACGCCAACGTGTGTTTGACCCTTAAGGCCATTCAATACGACTTAGGCGATGTACAGATCTACTGGTGGGGCTGAACAGGTAAACACACATTGGGCTTACACGCGTCCTGAGGATCATCGAGCCGTTCTCGTGATCTGGGGCAGTGGAATGCATCTGGGGCGCGAATACCACCACCTGCTGGAAGGGGGCCCACTCCGGCGCGCCGCTGCCGTCCTGAAGAGTGGTGGGCAAGGTGCGCTAAGGTTGCCCTTTGGTGCGCTGCTGGTCCGAAGAGCAGGGGGAGAAGGAGGAGGAGGAGGAGGACGACGACGACAACGAGGCGGAGGGAGAAGACGAGGAGGAGGAGGAGGAGAAGGAGGAGGAGGAGGAGGACGGGGATCGCCACCCAGGCGTCCGCTAGCCTAGCGCCCGAGGCGGCCCGACCCCGCTGGGAAAGGGGATCTCGACGACGGCAACGACGACGACGACTTGGCGATCCTCCCAGTTCACGTCGGGGGCGTCGTGCGCCTCGCCCAGGTACAGGGCTTGCTCGGCCTGGCCCCCCGCCCCCTCCGGGCCACACGCAGGGAGAGACCACCCCTCTAAGTGGTTGAGGGGGGAAGAGGCCAGGGAGGGAAAGGGGGGAGGGGGGAGTGGGGAGGGAGGGTGAGGAGGAAGGAGGGAGGATGAGAGTCTCCATCTCCTCCTCCTCCTCCTCCTCCTCCTCCTCCTCCTCCTCCTCCAACTCCTCCGCCTCCGCCTCCACCTCCGCCTCCACCTCCGCCTCCTCCTTCTGCTCCTCCTCCTCCTCCTCCTCCTCCTCCTCCTACTCCTCCCCTCCCCCCGTCCTCAATGTCCTCCTCCCTCCTCCTCCTCCCCCTCCTCCTTCTCCTCCTCCTCCTCCTCATCATCATCATCATCCGTTTCCTTCTCACTACCTGTATCATGATACTGCGCCGCCTCCTCCCTCACACCCTACATCTCATCCTCCGCCTTCTCCGCCTGCTCACATCCGTCCTCCGTTTCGCCCTCCTCCCGACCATCGGCTCTCCGCCCTCCTTCGCTGCCTCCTTCTCCGTCACCTCCGTTTCCCCTCCTCTTTGCAGCCTTCCGCGTTGTCATGCGCTTTCGAAGGCGCCGACGCCGCTGCATATGGCGCGACCGCCCATTTCCGCCTCCCCTGATTATTCCCCTACATCAGACTGAACATCCTCCTCCTCGTCATCTCATCTCCTCCACGCTCGCATGCTTCCGTTCGCCTCCCAAGAGATAGATATCCAAATGAGCTGTGTATCGACACAGACGGTCCGAATGCCGTAATATTCGTCTAGGGCAAGCCACGCAATGAACATGTGACGACTCCGATAGCAAGACATAATAAACCACAGCGACGATCACACATTTCAGAGTGAGAGGGGCGCGCTGTCTTACACTGTTCCCGGGTGCGTTGCTGAGACGGGTTCCCGCGGTGTTGTTTCTTCTTGTGGTTTTGTGTTGTTTTTGTTTCGATGTCGTGGTCCCACCCGCTACCCGACACGAACCCACCCAAAGCCCACGCCGCGACCCACTCCGCGACCCCGCCGCGACCCACCCCGCGACCCACCCGCGACCCACCCCGCGACCCACCGGCGACCCATCCGCGACCCACCCCGCGACCATCCCCGCGACCCACCCGCGACCCACCCCGCGACCATCCCCGCGACCCACTCGCGACTTACTCCGCGAACCACCCGCGATTCACCCCGCGCCCGCCCCCATGAGTCGAATCCGCAACTGCGAGGTGTTACATGTTCATACATGTGTATGATCAACGTGGGGAAATATTTGAAGCGTATACCATACAAGCGAGACAAAGCGATGACGGCGCGTAGTACGCCTCCGACAACGGTTTCGTGCGCAATGATACTCCAATCGCGACTCTGTTACAATCAACGGCTCCAACATTGAAACTGAAACGGGCTTACAGTGATACGTCGATCTGATCCCTGCCCTGCGCTTCTCTTGCCCCTCCGACCTGAGCCACCTTGAAGGGGCCCTGGGACAGACAAATAAAAAGACACACATAACAGGATTCCCCACATTTTCTGGGCTGTTGTCTTCCCCCACACTTCCAATCTTTTTGCATACTTCCCTCTGAATCGACGATTGATTGTGTCTATTTGTTTTCCCCCTGACGCATCCTGCTCATCTGCAGGCCGTGCCGTCCTCGCCGCTCCCCACCTGGCCGTTTCTCCGCTGTGCTGGCATAACACCCCCTCGGCAAGCACCGGTGGCTGCCCGGCACCGCGCCCCACCGGGGCGTGTCGCACCAGCACGATCTCCTGCTTCAGGGCGATGTGGGGCACCTGCGTGCGGGCAGGCGCGCCAGGGAAGGGGGGGGTCTGCTACCCCTCGTGGGCCCGCCGCCGACGCTCACTGCTGTTGACCCGAGCGTCCGACCAACTGCGCCTGCGATGAGGGGCGGCATGGAGACCAGCCCTGGAAACGACAGGGCAGTTTTCTTACCGGTTCCGTCTTGCCGTTTCCTTGCCAATCCCGACGACGTTTGTTGCCGGTTCCGTCGCCGTGTTTTTGGCGGTTGCGGCTCCGGCTCCAATCCTGGAGCTGTTTGTTTGCCCTTTCCAGTCGCCGATTTTTTGGCCGTTTCGGAAACGGTGACAAAGCGGCCTTGCCATTCCCGGGGCCCCCTAAGATGGAGAGCCCCCAAGCTCCCCAGCTTTTTCGTCAGGCTCTCGACTGGCCACAGAAGCTCTGGGGCCAAGCTCGAAGATATACAGGGGGGGCTCATCCTCGAGAGGGGTGCGACCGAATAGCTCCCCGCAGGGGTATCCCTGAGTTCCCTTCCTGGTCAGAGCGGCCTGCATATTTCGGGGGCAACTCGGGCATGGGTGGCGAACAGAAAGAACGCCTGCGATCCGAAATGGATGGCCCGTCCACCGACCCTGTGCTGCGCGACCATGCTTCTGCAGGATCCCAGTCGGCCCTAGGACAGAAGAATCCTCCAAGAACGTGAGACCGACCCTCAGCCGGCCAGAACACGCGGAGCATCCAAGGCCATCCTCCCCAGGATGCACAAGAACATCGAACGAACACGAAGAACCTCAGCTGCCCCGATACACAACACGCAAAACACGTAGCGCAGAGATACGGAGCTCAACGCGTGGACTGAGAACGTATAGTAGGTCTGCCGCGACAGGTTCGCCAAAGCGTGGGCCAACACGGTGAGCCAACACGCAGCGTACTGACACGGACGTCTTGAGCACGGCGCGCGCTGCGTACCAAAACGGGCGCATCGAGGCAGCTAAGCGAGAGGACATCAGGGTGCCCTCCCCGACCCGACCATGATCTTGTATCGGGGTCGCGCAAGCATGGACTAGCGATACAGGGACTTGGCGCGCGGTCGCCACATCCACGGATCGGGGGAGGTGCCCTCCCCACAATGCGGCCGGTGCCGCCGCGCTCGGCGGCGGAAACCCGCGATTTCCCATGGACACGGGGCCCGTCACTGATCCACGCCTCCGTGATCCATGCTTGCGACCGCCTGATTATGTGGTCCGACTGTGCAGCGCAGCAGACACACACACACACCCTCGGAGCCCCGTGCGGATATTCATCGGGCCGGCGCAGGGCCCCCCATTCCCGGGCGGGCGGGGCCCAAGAGGAGTCGCCAGAGGGGGGGGGAGTCCGGCCCCGGAAATGTTCCACGCGCGCCCACGTGAACACTGCAGTGCGAGCGATAGAGAGAGAGGGAGAGAGGGGGCGCGTTTCGCGGGCGCCTGCTGGGCAAGGCTGCCCACCCGCCCCCCTCCCCCCGGGATCGAACCGGTGGGGAGGGGAGGCCCCGCCCCCGCCCCTGGTTCAAACCCGGGGAGAGGGCGGGTGGAAAGCCACGACGACGACGACGACGACGACGACGACGACGACGAGGGCAAGACCGCGACGGCGCCGACAGCGACGACGAGGACGCGCCGACGATGACGACGACGATGCCGACGCCGACGCCGACGACGCCACAGACGCCGACGCCTAAGCCGACGTCGGCAACGACGACGACGACGCCGAGCACGACGCCGACGACGCCGACGCCGACGCTAACGCCGACGTCGACACCGGCGCCGACGACGACGCCAACGCTGAGCACGACGCCGAGCAGGCGCCGCGGACGATGCCGACAACGACGTCGACGCTAACGCCGACGACGACGCCGAAACCGACGAAGAGCACGACGATGAGCACGACGCTGGGCACGACGCCGACGCCGACGCCGCCGAGGACGACGCCGAGGACGACGCCGACACCGACAACGACGCCAAACACGACGCCGCCGCCGACTGCGACGCCGCCGACGACGACGACGCCGAGCACAACGCCGAGCACGACACCGAGCACAACGCCGAGGGCGACGCCGACGCCGACAACGCCAGCGTCGACGCCGACAAAGAGCACGACGCCGAGCACGACGCCGACGCCGCCGACGACGCCTACGACGGCGCCGACACCTAGCTCGACGCATCCAACGACGCCGCCAACGACGCCGATGCCGACGACGACGTCGACGCTGACGACGACGACGACAACGCTGACGACGGCGCCGACGTCGACGACGCGCGACGACGCCGACGCCGACGCCACAACCGACGACGACGACGACGCCGAAAACGCCTTCTTGCAGGACGCCGATGCGGACACCGCCGCCGACGACGACGCCGACGCCGACAACGACGCCGAGTACGATGCCAACGACGCCGACACCGACAACGACACCAATACCAGCGACGACGCAGACGCCGACGCAAACCCAGGGGGGGGGAAAGAGGACGACAACGACGCCGCCGACGACGACAACGACGACACGACAGCGTCGGCGACGACAGCGAAGACAACAACGACGACGAGCACGACGCCGACCAGACCAACGACGCGACGCCGACATCGACGACGCCGACTCCGACGACGACGCCGACGCCGACGACGACGCCGATCACCCCAACGACGCCGACGACGCCGACGCCGACGACGACGCCGACGCCGACAGCGACGCCGACAGCGACGCCGACAGCAGCGCCGACGCTGACGACGACGATGACGACGACGACGACGAAGCCGAGAACGATGCCGACAACGCCGACGCCGACGATGACGAAGCCGCGCACGTGGCCGAGCACGACGACGAGCACGACGAAGACAACGACGCCCACGCCAGCGCCAACGCCGACGCCGACGACGACGACGACAATGACAACGACGACGACGACAACGCCGACGACGACGACGACGATGACGACGACGAGCACGACGACAAGCACAACGCCGAGCACGACGGTTATGCCGACGTCGACGCCGACGACAACGACGCCGACGCTGACACCCCCGCCGACGCCGATGCCTGCGTCGACAACGACGACGGACACAACACCGACGCCGACGGCGACCAACGACGCCGAGCACGACGCCCAGCACAGCGCCGACGACGACGACGACGAAGCCGAGAACGATGCCGACAACGCCGACGCCGACGATGACGAAGCCGCGCACGTGGCCGAGCACGACGACGAGCACGACGAAGACAACGACGCCCACGCCAGCGCCAACGCCGACGCCGACGACGACGACGACAATGACAACGACGACGACGACAACGCCGACGACGACGACGACGATGACGACGACGAGCACGACGACAAGCACAACGCCGAGCACGACGGTTATGCCGACGTCGACGCCGACGACAACGACGCCGACGCTGACACCCCCGCCGACGCCGATGCCTGCGTCGACAACGACGACGAACACAACACCGACGCCGACGGCGACCAACGACGCCGAGCACGACGCCCAGCACAGCGCCGACGACGACGACGACGACGACGTCGATACCAACACTGACGACGCCGACGCCAGCGCCAACGCCAGCGTCGACCAAGAGCACGACGCCGAGCACGACGCCGAGTAAGACTGCGACGGCGACGTCGCCGACGACGACAACGCCGACGCCGACGCCGCCGAGGTTGATGACAACGCCGACGGCAAACCCAACGCCGAGCACGACGCCGACGCCGAGCACGACGCCGATGCTGGCGACAACGACGACGAATCAGAGCACGACGCCGAGCACGACGCCGACGCCGACGCCGACGCCAGCGCCAACGTCGACGCCGAGCAGGTGCCGCAGACGACGCCCACGATGACGACGACGCCGACACCGACGCTGAGCACGACGCCGACGACGGCGACGCCGACAACGACGCCGACGCCACCGACCACGACGCCGACGCCAACCAGGCCAAGAACGACGCCGAGCACGCCGACCACGACGTCGATGACGACGCCGACGCTGGCACCGACGCCGACGCCGACGCCGATGCCAACGACGACGACGGAGCCGACGCCGACACCGACGCCGACGCCGACGTCGATGACGACGACGGCGACGCCGACGCCGACGTCGACAAAGACGACGGCGACGCCAACGCCGACGCCTGCGACGACGACGACGACGACGACGACGACGACGACGCGACGACGACGAGGCGACGACGACGACGACGATGCCGAGCACGTCGCCGACGCAGACGCCAGTGACGACGACTACGCCGAAGACGCCGACGACGACGACGGCATCGACGACGACGACGACACCGACGCCGACACCGACGCTGGCGCCGACGTCGACGCCGACGCCGACGTCCACGACGACGACGGCGACGGCGACGCCGATGCCGCCGACGACGTCGCCGACGCTGGCGACGCCGACGACGCCGACAACGTCAAGCACGACGCTGACGCAGACGCCGACGCCGGCGACGCCGACTACGGCGACGCCCAGCACAATGCCGTCGTCTCCTTTGGTTTCCGAACTCGGGGGGGGACCTTACAAGCGACCTTACAAAGGGCTCTGCACAGATCTACCCATCTATATATATATATATATGAATCACCCCGGAAATTCTGATAAGAGTGAGGGGGCAGCGGGGACGTCGGCAGTTTGCGAGACCCCGAAGCAGCTCGGCCCCGTCACTCTGATGACTTCTAAGCCCCCTCACTCTTTTTCGCAACTGCGAGGTGCTACGTACGGCCCCAGCCCCAGCTCAGCAGCCTAGCCGATTAAGGGCTTGTGGGCTTGGGGCCAGAGCCAGGCGCTCATGCCGCTTCTTCTTCTTCTTCTTCGGCGAAGGCCAAGTGAACACCTACGGAAGCGTCCGATATCCAGCGCCGACACAGACATCCTCTGATGTCAGTGTTCCGATCCACAGCTCCAGAGCTCTGGACCCCTTCCCGAATGATAGTCTCGCGTCCCAGATCCATGTTTGATGGTCCTGGGGCACGACAGCGGCCCTTGGATGCCGAAAAAAAATGCAGCGCTTGGAAACAAACTGGTCGCTGGAGGTCTGGGGATGATACACGCAGGGGTAAGAGCTCGCAAGTATCAAGCACGGCATCTTTACATACACGATGTGTTGAATGGGTGTGCTGGTTCGGCCTTGTTGGCCGCCGCTGCCGATGCGCAACATACTCGCATGGATACTCGCCTATGGATTCATGCCTTTGTTCGCATGGATGTTCCACACTGGCACCGTCCGGATTTGTTTGGAGTCCCGAAACGGTGCGGTGACAGACCGTGCGGTGACCTCGAAATCCCCCAAGACCTCACCGCACGGTCCGTCACCGCACGGTCTTGGGACCCTGGAGGCCCCTGTCGCCCGAGACATCCTCAGAGAAGGACTCGAGTCCCAAAACCGTGCGGTGACCCCGCACGGTCTGGTCAGCACCCCGTTTGGGTCCCCCGAATTTGATTTGACTTCACATGGTCTGGCCGGGGGAAAAATCTATACTAAACCCAGACAGGAGTCCATGTCAGCGTTCGCTGCTACTTTTACATCATATGGCTTGCGCCGCGGAAGCCTTGCAGAAACCCACGTCTCGGGTGACGAATGACACGAAGAGACGACAGTAGGAGCTCGACAACAAGAAACCTTTCACAAGAAACTGAACTCGAAGACCCCAGGTCGTCCATTGACTTTTTGGTGTGGGAATGTCACGCTTTCAATGGCAAAACCATCGAAACCCAGGAGACCCAGGGCACCCTGGAGGCAAGCATGATGTCTCTTGGCATGGGTTTCCAATGTACTGAAGAATGCCCTGTCTGACCAACCATCGGCCGCAGAACAACCGCGGGCTGGCCCCGCGGGGCAGGGAGTCAACAAGCAGAGGCCTCCCAAGTGAAGCCCGAGCAGATGGGGTTGGAGGATCGCGCCGCACTGGCACTGCATCGCCAACGTCGGCAGCGTATCGACGCCGTGGGCGACTAGAATTGCGGGCTTCACATCGAGCCACCTCGCCGATGCCTCGGCGAGGCGGCGCGATACCCCGACCCCATCTGCTGCGACCCCATCTGAGAGAAGCTTACTTCGAGCAAAGGAACAACGGCATGAGCATAAAATGTCTGAGGTCCGCGCGGGTTTGTTGGACCTGCGCTGGAAGCCCCCTCCCTGGCGCACTCCGCGCGCCAGGGCCGGCGCCAGCGCCGATCCAAGAAATCAGCGCAGGCCGTCGAGAGTGCTATGCGGGCAGTATGTATTTCCATCGCCAGTGCGTCTTGGACTTTCTTGGAAGGGGTGCCTCGGCTTTCTGGGGAAGAGACCACGAGCATCCAAGCTGAAGTGTATATGGACATTCTTCTGATTAGTGCTTTTATGCCACTTATTATTCTTCTTCGTCTTCTTCTTCCTCTTCCTCGTCTTCCTCCTCCTCCTCCTCCTCCTCCAGTGTTGCCCGCATGTTTGCGCCGACGTGCCGACATCCGAATTCTACCCCCACCAACCATAGAGTGTCCCGAATCTGTGAGCGGCAAGTGCAGAGGCAGGGCCCGGACCTCGCCACGTCTTCGACGAACTCAGAGCCCTACCCTGGCCGCCCATCGAGTTGCCTGAATCGCTGATCGGCGAGGGTACAGTCGGGGCGTTGACCTAAGGAACCCTAAATAAGGAACGAGGCCCCTTTTTTTCCATAAGTTAAACTTCGATTTCCGATCGAAAACATACGGAAAACCTGAGGCAAGCTGTGAAACACTTAAGGAACGCGGAGCCCCTCCCCAACGAATAGGGTCCCTTCTGCAGGGCCCCGACTGTAGGGTTCGGATTTCGCTGTCGATGTGTCCAGCGGAAAACAATATTATCAAACACATCCCAAGATACCCCCCCTGGGCAACCCGGAAAACCCCTCCAAGATGCATACCATAAGCGTCCCAGCATGTGATCATGGCTGGCAAGACAACGCAGCTCGGACAACCCCTTGGGCAACCCCGCAAGGATCTGGACACAATCGCCCGCGGACCACCCCCTTCGTTGAACAAGCCTCCCCAGGGTTTTTTCCATTCGGTAGCATGTTGATGGATTTCTCTTCCTTGAGATCCGACGCTGCAAAACAAATGCAGCATCGCAAGCAAGAGTCACGCCTGGAGCCCCACGTGGCATCGTTCTGCGCCACTTCTCGAGCGGGATCGATCTGTGAGGGTCTCGGGGCCAGAAATTGGACGAAAACCCCTGTTGCGAAAAAAATGAAACGCCAGGACCTCAGGGTTCGGACACGAGTTGATGGGCCTGTTTTCCACCACCACCACCATAAGTTGGAGGGGGAGGGGGTCCTCCTCCTCCTCCTCCTCCTCGTCCTCCTCCTCCTCCTCCTCCTCCTCCTCCTCCACCTCCTTCTCCCCTCCAAAACAGGCCCGTAACGAGTCCACACGAGCCTCGGCGGTGTTCTGGCGGCAGAACCGGTCCAGGAAGCGCCCGGCCGCGCCGCGCATGAGCTGGTCCTGTGGGCGTCCGCGGGGAGGCCCGGCGGGGGGAGCGGGAGGAGGAGGAGGAGGAGGAGGAGGAGGAGGAGGAGGAGGAGGAAAAGGAGGAGGAGGAGGAGGAGGAGGATGAGGAGGAGGAGGAGGAGGAGGAGGAGGAGGAGGAGGATGCGGAGGCGGAGGCGGAGGCTCATTCGGGCGAGGGGCCAGGCGAGCTGGCAGCGGCCCTAACTGCCGTTTTTCGTCATCTTGGTTTGGGGGGGGGGGCTCCTGGAGGCTTCTCGTCGCAGCGGCTGGAGATGCGCCGCGTGAAACTGGAGTATCGGGGATCGACTACAGCATCGATGCCCGCCAGCGTGTGGGATGCTCCGCAGATCTATACGGAACGCTCTGAGCACGCTGGCCGTGGACTCTCGACAAAATCGGGGCGAACATCTGCTCTTCGGGCGGCCCCCTGCCGGAGAGAGAGAAGTCGGGATGGACCACGGGAGGGGCCCGGGGATTTGGCTTCGAGCGGCACACCGGGCAGGGCGAGAGAGAGCCGCCACCGTCTCAACTGGCCCTCCACCGCGAGTTGCAGGAGCTAGTTTTAGGCCAGGCATGTCCCCCCTACAGGCCGATCTTCGACGAAAATTCAAACAAACTCCAACCATTCGAAAATGAGCAAAAAGTGCTCAAACTATTGTTTGACTATTGTTGAAAATATTCCTCCTGTAGAGGGACAGGCCCGACTTAAAGCTAGTTGTTTTCTTCCACGGCAAGGCTTTACCCCAGCGAGGACCTCACCCTCGATCGATGCAAATCGCTACAACAGGGTTGCGCCGCAGCGTGAGGCGCACGACTGCAAGCTCGGCCTGGTGAACAGGCGGCCACCGCTCCAAGGCGACGAGGTCGCAACAGCTGGAGGACCAGGATCTTGCCCCTGAAGCCCCAGACCCCCCACGTCATGGCTTTCGCATGACGTCGACCCCAGAGGTCGTCTGGACCCATTCTCCGGGACCAGTGTTCGTCCTGGGTCGTTCTTCGACGGCCCCGAGGCCCGGTCAGGGCCCCCAGAGGCCGACTATCGCGAACAACCGTCCGACGCGATTTTTGTTCATGACTCGAGGGGGTCTGGGCACGGGGCTCACCCGAGTTCCAGGAGCCAGCTCCCCAGACCTCCAATGGCGTTGGAATAGAACGAAATTCGCCGTTTTCGGCCTCTGGTCGGGGATCCTCTGACCCGGGTCGATCCAGACCCGGGTCAGTCAGGCCCTGCAGGATCCAGCAGGATCCTGCAAGATCCTGCAGCCAAACCCGGGTCAGTGCGAAGGACCCTGCAGGTTCCTGTAGTATCCTGGGCCCAAGCCCGGGTCAATGCGACCCTGGAGCTGCAGGATCCTGCAAGATTCGGCGCCCTGGCTGACCCCCGCTTGCATTGACCTCCGCCTCAAGGCTCCCGATCTGGGGGCCCTCACCGTGCCCCGGGGGCCTTCGCAAAACAGGGCCGGCCCTCACGCAGTAAGGGGAAGGGGCCGGGACCTCGGGAGGCCCCGCACCGGAAGGATCAGGGCATCGGATCTCCAGGAGATCTCTGGGATGATGTTTCGGAAGCCGGGCAGGGGCTGCTAAATCCGTGGCTGCTAAACTCGACCTCCCGGGAAGTTGTCTTCGTCCTTCCGGGGAGAAGCCCGTTGACTGTTTCGCGTGCCGCGCCTCATTCCGGGAAGTTGTGTTTTTCTTCCGGGAGCGCCGTTTTAGCAGCCACGGTTTTAGCAGACCTCGCCCAGCTTCCGAATGTTGCTCCCATCGTACTGATGGGCCACATCTCAGAAAGAGTTGCGAGCGGCCCGCACGGTATCGAAACGGTGTCGAGCGAGTATCGCCTCCCAGGGCCCGACACGTGAGAACCCTCCTGTCTCGGTGCTTTATTGCTGCTCGAAAATAGTTCTAGTGACCAGGGCTAAAGTACAGTCGGGCCGCTGAAAGAAGGAACGCTACAGAAGGAATGAAGACCCTTCTTGGCCCCGCAAGCGCCTCCGTGCCCCAGGAGGGCAAGAGGGAACGGCACTGGAGGAACCTGAGGAACATCGAGCCCCTTCCGAACCCGAGCTGTTCCTTACTACAGCGTCTCGACTGTGGTTACCAGCCTGGAACATATCCCTATCCCTATGCTGGGAACCTCCTCATCACGATGCCAATCTTAGGGATTCCCATATTTCTTACAGGAGGATCCCTAAGATTGTCATCGCCTTTTGGCGTGTCAACCTTAGGGATAGGGATACGTTCGAGGCTGGTAATGTCGGCCGGAACATCAGAAGGTGGGGAGTGACAGGGCGGCGAACGAGTCAGCTCGCACGGGTGGCCTTCCCGGCGCCTCCCGTGCCCTGAGGCCACAGGTGTGCCAGCGTAGCAGGCAGAGACACGCCGCCAAGCGGCGGGGCCGAGGCCAGCTGCGTGCAGCAGATTTCGTCTCCCCCCAGTTTTCCCTTCGTATGCCCCTCCTCCTCCTCCTCCTCCTCCTC